ACCATTACGCCTATGGAGAGACCACATAAACCATAAAAACAAACGTGTGTGTGTGTGTGTGTGTGTGTGTGTGTGTATTTTGAATAAACATTATTTAATATTATATTATATTAATTCATGTATTTAATATATACACAAAACAATGTATAAAATATATATAATATATATATATAAATTATATTAATTAACAGTAGCCTAGATAAATATATGCTTGATTTTATTTCATGCTTTAATGCATAAGACTGATGTTATAAACTGAACTGTATTGAAAAGTGATACTGACCGCTTTATTGCACTTGTTCTTTCTCTTAATCATTAAACTCGTATTCTTGTTCTTGTTCTTCCTCAGACCTTCACGAGGCTAGTAGATTGGATGCCCAGTGACAAGCGAAAGGTGTCCTCAGGACCTTTAACCGTGCGTTATTCCACCGCTGTACCAGCCAGAGATCCTGCTGTGGTTCAGAAGGAGAAGCCAGACCATCATGGACCAGCAGACAAGGGGAAGAACTCTGAACACGCAGCCCAGAAAAAGGAGGAGACTTCTGGCTGTGGCATCACAGGGGTAGCCAAACCCGTCCCCCGGCCACCCACACAGCAAGCCCCGTGCACGGCCGAAATCAAAACAATAGGGGCCTTCCCTCCTCTGATGAGAGCCGTCTCCTGGGACACGGTAGGCTCCATAAACATGAGGAATGCAGCTCCTAAAGGGGAGGACAGTCTTTCAGACAAATCAAGGGAGTTTCTTTTTAAGTCCTCTGGGTACAAGGACTTCCCTGTGCCACCTGGGAATGTTCAGAAACTGTCTAAATTGCGCGAGGTAATCCTTTGTTGTCTTTGGCCATCCTAGTAACCAGGCTGTGTTAGTAGGTTAAATGTTCCTTTTATGGCTTTCTCTGAGATTTGAGCCCAGTTGGCAGAGTAAAGGGAATGTTATGTCCCCGATTTAGTAAAATCATTACGGTTTTCATTCCATAGGAGCACAAACTGATGCGTAACCAGAGCATTTCCAGCCCAAAGCTTCCTGACCTGAGTGAAACGACTGAGCAGGAACGAGGTATGGACTCAGTGTGATCATCTTATTCCAGTCTGTGCATAAACTTATTGCAGCTTATTTTAAATAATGTTGACTTGAAGAGATCATCCAAAAATGAACATTTTACAATAATTTACTCACCCTCAAGTCAATCCAGATAACTTAGTTTGTGTTCCACAGAAGAAAGGAAGTCATACAGTCTTTGGAATGACACGAGAGTGAGTAAATAATGACAGAATTTTCATTTTTGGGTGAAAAGTAAAGGAATCATTAAAGTGTTGTTCTGCTCTTCGACAGAACATTTCTTTAACAGCACACAGGGTTACTGTTGTTAAATAAAACTAAAATTAAAACTAAAAAGAAAACCATAAAAAATCATGTTACTTAAGATAAACGTAGACTAAAATAAAATAAAATATTAAAAAACTTAAACTTGTTTTATTTCAGGTAGTTAGCTAGCATAGAGACAAAATTGAATAAATTGACAAAACACAACAGAAGCACTAAAATGTTCAAATTAAAATGAAAACAGCAAATAAATAGGAAATAATAAATACTAAATCAACACTGCCTCAAGTTTAACTCTTTCGACAGCATCTGTGGCACTGTATCTGTGTTAACACTCATTTTGATTCGTCCCTCAGTTTGATAAACACAAACAAAAATTTAAAAGCATCTTCTAAAAAAGATTTGGATTTCTGGTTATGTGTTACTGACATAAATCCTGTGTAGACTGTCCCTTTCTGACATCTCACATGTATCATGCGGAAGTTGCAGGGTTTACTGGCAGTGTTTAGTTGAGAAATTGCATATTACTTTACAGCATGTTAATTTGACTTTAACGTGTTTGCCTGTTTTTTGTGTTGTTTTTAATTTAATGAACACTTATTCTCTGAACTAACAATGTACATTAAAATTGTCTATAACACAAAAAAATACATAAATCATGTAATAACATAAACCAACAATGGGCACTACAATGTGTACCTTGGGAGTGCATGTTGATTGATTATTGTGTTATTGTGTCGTTCCACAGTTTTTAACCCACCTTCCAGGTTTCTACACCCACACACCTTTTATAGGATTTAAATTTCATAGACCCGTGTTTTCATGTGTTACCTATTTGTTTTACACTGAGTTATATTGTGTGAAATACATTTAAAATGTAACTCTATTCTTACACCACTAGTTGGCACCATATGTGTCAGCACATAGTGCTTGTAATGATTTCCTTCTACAGTTCTCTTAAATATGCTGTGTTAAATCTTAGTAATTGGTTTATCTCTCAGGTCCATCCTCTCCACTCACCAGCTCTCCTAGTGAAGAGGAGGCCAAAGAGAAGCCTGATGCTATGCCCAACATTTCAGACGTCATGCTACGCAAGCTCAAACTGCACAGAGGTTTACCTGGCTGGTGCGCTCACAAAACCATCCTTTGATCATTGATTGATCGATTCCTTAAAAAACCTTACAACTGTAACATTTTGTCTCTTTTCTTCTTTTCCTCTCTTTTATGTTGCAGCGCACCCCCGCTCTCAGAGAAAGAAGTTGAGGTGTGTATATTCTTGAGTTTCATTTCAATAAATAAATGGAGATAAATTATACAATTCTTAATGACAAGGCATTTAGTTATTGATTGATATAATTTCACATTTCATGTATTCTTGTGCTTTGTGCAAATCACTGATTTTTTATAATTAAGCTAACAGAGTCAATAAAAATAACGCAATTAAAATATTTTAACGCAGTTAACGCACTGGCCCCGCCCCCAGACCTTTCATACAGTTGACTGTTGACAAACATGATGAAGGGCAACAAGTATGTAGTCCATAAATGCAGTTATGTGCCCCTAAAATTCAAGATATTGGGCCAAAAAATGGCGCTGTATGAGTTTTTGTCTCATATTTATTTCATATGATAAGCGATATCACACGAGCTGCGAGAGCAATATCACACGAGTGCTTTTGTGATTTTATATAACTGTTCAGTAAATAAGAAGTTAATATTGTGTTATATTTTAAACACAATATTGTCTGTTACTCAGTTTTGCTGATGCAAATATTACCTATTAAAGCCACATCAAATCTGTTGTGCATCTCCAAGCAACGCACAATTTCTGAATTAATCCACATTTTGAATGAATCGGTGAACCAATTATCCTGATGATTTATATATACGCACACACACACACATATATAACTGTATAATTAGCAGAATTTAAAATAATTTAATGATTCAAATTTGTATAGATTTATGTAGTGATTTTATAATGCAGTCTGAACGTTTCATGCATTCTTGTGCTTTGTGCAAAGAACACTTTTTTTTTTGTTTGTTTCTTAACAGTTGAAATAGTGAGTTTAACATAATTGTATGTATAATTTTACTTGTATTTGGCCCTTGTTCATTTTGGTCTCATATATAATCAAGAAAAAATCAGTCCAGTTGTGTATGAATCTGCATCATATCTGCTCTAGTTCAGTAGTGTTTTCCAGAATAAGGCGGTTTTGATATGTCCACGAAGGCCATTGTTGTCTGTGCTGTTGAGCCTGGCTTAGGACATGGCAATTTGATGGGTTTTAGTGAGTTCCTGTCCCCTGTGAGGAAACAAACATGCCTTTGTCAATACAGTCTGCTCCCAGGATGACGCTAGTAAGGGTCAAGGGCTGGACGTATTTTCCTCTCTAATATTCAGACAATACTGGCTGTACTGCCGCTGCGTTCTTTGATCCTGACAGTAAAGTTATCTTAATATTGCTGATTTCCTCAGTCTTGCTCCGGTTAGACCCAGAGTGTTCTCAAAAGCATGTCAAAATAGAAAACAATTATTTTAAATTGTAATCAAATTTCACAATATTACTATCTTTACTGTATATAATAAATGCAGCCTTGGTGAGCATAAGAATGTATTTCCCATGATAACTATTATATTTTAAATCCTAAATCAGATTTCTTTTTATCTCATTGTCAGGTCATTGTGAAATTTGTATCTGAATAGTGTTTGTTTCCTATTATTATTAGTATTATCTCCAATGGTTACAGCCCAGCAAATATCAATGCACCAAACCATTCATTCATTCATTCATTTATAAAGAATGAATTCAGTTTTGTTTGAGTTTTTTCAGAAAATGTAACATGTAATGAAAAGCAGCAGAGTCTGACAGAGGAAGCATGGTGTTTCAATATCATTCAAAATATATTTTTTCTAAACAATTTTATTTTGGATGATTTTTACTCTTTAATCTTTAAAAATCTTGCTGGATCTGTCCACTGCTTTTGATGCGGTTAACCACCAGATCCTCCTGTCAACCCTATTGGCAAAAGGCATCTCAGGAACCACGCTCCAGTGGTTTGAGTCTTATCTCTCAGATAGGTCCTTCAAGATATCTTGGAGAGGTGAGGTGTCCAAGTCACAACATCTAACTACTGGGGTGCCTCAGGGCTCCGTTCTTGGACAAAATATGATAGAAGCATCTTTCTTTGGATAAAAGAGTCTGCTAAATGTCTAAAATCATGCAAAATCCTTAAAACAAAATCAATATTGTGTTAAAAATCTTGCATTACAAACTAGACAATCAAATGAAACAATGAATCAATCCTTTTATTTATCTCATATGTAGCACTGTGCTGAGAATGACACTTAAGTAAAGTAAATACATTTCCTTATAATTTTTATGATCTTTTCCACTGTGCCCAAGGTTTATTGACTCTTGTTGAAAACTGCTGGATTTAAGTGTTTTCACAATGACAAATACTTTCACAATGAATTGATGCATCTTGTCTTCCCCTGCAGAACGCATTTGTGCAGCTGTCCCTGGCATTCCGCAATGACAATTACACGCTGGAGTCGCGGCTGAAACAGGCGGAAAGAGAGCGCAGCCTGACTGAGGAAAACGCTGAGAAGGAACTGGAAGAGTTTAAAAGCACTCTCAAGGTCAGACCCCAATGTAAACAGCCCACAGACACACAGATGTTGGGAATAAACTGGAATATAACTGGAATTGTTGTTGGTGTCCCATTTCAGAACACTGTGTCACTGTGGCAGAACATCGAGCAGCGGGAGTTTTATCAGCATCTCTTTGAAACGATCGCCATATTGTACCGCCTGACCAACCGCCTCTCCAGCAGGGCTGAAATGGTGGGAGCTGTGCGGCAGGTGAGATGCTTGTTATAACATCATCATAACCTCTTTGTCAACTACTAAAGATGCGTCAGGGTCACATTACGGAATTTTTAGTGAAATTTCACAAACAAAAAAACTCATTGTCAACCGAGCAGTTTCTGTTGGTCAAAAGTAAATTGAACAACTGAACTCAAATGCAAAATCTGCATGGTGAAATCATTTGCCCTCACAAGATGTTTCCAATTGTGTGGATTCCTATTCAAATGACTGGATTTCATCTGTGAATGAGCCCCACAATGGTAAATGTGACAGCACCCTTTACAGTGCCTTTCTACCACAGCGGCAAAACTCAAAACGCTGTAGCAAGTGTGTTTAATCTTTTTTTTAAAGGGGTCATATGATGCGATTTCAAGTTTTCCTTTCTCTTTGGAGTGTTACAGTGTTGCTGGTTCGTCTGGTCAGAGGAGAACTGGCCCCCCGACTGAGCCTGGTTTCTCCCAAGGTTTTTTCTCCATTCTGTCACCGATGGAGTTTTGGTTCCTTGCCGCTGTCGCCTCTGGCTTGCTTAGTTGGGGACACTTCATTTCCAGCGATATCGTTGACATGATTGCAAAGATATTATTTAAACTGAGCTGGATGTTGACATCACTGAATTCAATGATGAACTGTCTTTAACTGAAAAATTAGTGTTTACTATTGTCATTTTGCATTATTGACACTATTTTCCTAATTAATGCTGTTCAGTTGCTTTGTCACAATCTGTATTGTTAAAAGCGCTATATAAATAAAGGTGACTTGACTTGACTTGACTTACAAGCTGTACGTGAATAGATAAGATCCCTAAAGTTGCAAAGACTAAAGTCTCAAACCAAAAGAGGTATTCTTTATAAAAGTTAAGACTCGTCCACGCCTACCTAAAATGTCTTGTTTAAACACGCCCCCACATGTCTACATCACTGTGTGGGAAGATTTGCATAACACCACCCAAATGTATACGCAAAGAAAGAAGGCGTAACTTTGATTCTCGCTGTAGTATTGTTGCCGCCGCCGCCATGTCGTGGAGACGCTGTGTTTCATTGTGAAAGCGAAACTACTTTGTTGGCCTTCCAAAAGAGGACACGACTAGAAATCAGTGGTTAAGTTGTATTTACAACAATAGGCGCGTTTCCATTACAGATTTGCGCAAAACTTTGGCGATATTTTATAAATGTCGATAAAACCTTTGGTTTTGGCCTTTGGTTTTGCATGGCATTTGGTTTTGATTGTTTCCCTCTGATTTTAGAGGTACTGTACATTATGATCAGTTTAAGTTTAGAGGTCTCTGATCATTTGTAACTCTTGCTTTGTCTCCTTTGCAGGAGAAGAGAATGAATAAGGCCACTGAGGTGATGATGCAGTATGTGGAGAATCTGAAGAGGACGTATGAGAAGGACCATGCTGAGCTGATGGAGTTTAAGAAGGTTGCCAGCCAAAACTCCAGCCGCTGTTACGTGGGCTCAGTGGACACTGGAGGTAAACGGAAACATCAAAACCACAGTTGTTTCCCCCCTTCAAGACATACCTGCTTATGTTTCATCTCTTACTTATGTGTTTCACACAGAGGATGGTGTTCCACGTACATCAAGATCCATGTCTGTGCAAATGGGAAAGGTAGGCACAAGTCTGTGTGCCAACATTTTTCAAAATATCTTCTTTTGTGTTCAACAGAAGAAAGAAACTCATAAAGGTTTGGAACAAGTGGAGGATGAGTAAATCATGGGAGAATTTTCATTTTGGGGTGAACTACCTCTATAAAAACCCCTTGAAATAGTTTGATGAGTGTACATACAAAAAAACCATCAAACACCTTTTAATCTCCAGAGAATCATATAGCCAGCTCAAGAACGCTATATTGCCAAAAATATGGTTATTACTGTGAATATATGATTGCTGAACCTAAGGTACAGAAAACCCTGTCTTTTTAATATTGTACCAATAACATCCATAACACAGATCAGAGAGGCAGAGAACGTGACTATCTACAGATAAAATGTGTTCATATGAAGTATTTAGTTTCAGAGAGTGTGTGTTTTTCTCTCTAAGGCTTTGCCCAGACGAAGAGTCAGTGTGGCTGTAGTTCCCAAGTTTAATCTACTGAACATCCCCGGGCAGACGCCAGCCGCCGGTGGCCCTAATGCTGGCCCACTTCCTGTGGTGGTGAGTCCTATCTCACGCGCACTGCCTCGTCAGCTGTTATGTTGTAGCCTGTCAACAGCCAGATGTAATTAATGATGCTTTATCTTTAAGTTTCCTACATGTGGCATTTTATCAAGGTGACCGTTTGAGGCTAAAGCCATTCGTCAAAATGAGACCTTGAGGTTTTTTTGACTTGATTGTATTCTACTGTTGTTTTTTAGTGTGAGGCGAACACCATTAAGAACAGCAGTTCCTCAGACCCCACACAACAAGATGTGCCTGATAAATCGTAAGTAATTGCCTTTCTCGACTCTGTGCCGCCACATTCCTCATAAACTGTGTACATGAGCACACATTCATCAAGTAATGCTCTGGAAATGTATTCCTATTTCTGCTCAGTTTGCTTAAAACTATGGAACAATTTGAGCCTTATCATAAGATATGCGACCAGAGAATGTTGCATTTTTGTGCATCTAAATATGTTTATTCCCCAACACTCTCGATATTAAAGGCTCCTAAAAGGGGTTTTGCAGTAATGCCATTGAAGAGCCATTTTTGGTTCCCCAAAGAACCTTTCAGTCCACACCTCTTAAAAGAACCATTTTTTATGTGAAGAACTTAATTACACTGCCCAGTATCATATTTGCTGAAAGAAATCCAATGCTTTTTCTTACTAAATTTGGGGTGCTGATTCTAAAAATAGTGCTGTAGCACATCACACTTTTTCACAAAATATTATGTGCATTTAATAGCATTTCTGATTTCGACAACCATTTGTACGGAGAAGTCTTATATTATCTTTTAATCACAAGAAAAACTGCCACAAAGACGTGATTCCTATTTGCATATGTAGGATTGATTCTGAAGACATCACTTTATGCCTATTCCTGATTTAAAGCTTAGAATTAGGTCCAGTGACAGAAGAAAATGCAAATCGACCCAAATGTTTTTTGCTACATCTGTGTGTTTTATCTGACAGAAAGTTATTTGTTTATAAACTTGTGTTTATGTAAAGTATTTTGACATTAAATGGAGTATTTGAACATATTTATCCACTCTTTTGCAGATTATAAGTTTAATGATGCACTTTGAATACTTCTTTTCGAAAATTTTCTGACATTTGACTACTTGGCACTTTAGTTTGAGGACCAATTCTTACTATTAACTACAACTTTTGCCTCAATAAACTTATAATTTGCTGCTTATTAATAGTAAGGTAGTTGTTAAATTCAGGTGTGGGGTAGGATTAAGGGATCTAAAATATGCAGTCATTAGGACATTAAGTAAAGATCATGTTCCAATGAAGATCATTTGTAAATTTCCTACTGTAAATATATCAAAACTTAATATTAATAGTAATATGCATTGCTAAGAACTTCATTTGGACAACTTTAAAGGCGATTTTCTCAATATTGTGATTTTTTTTGCACCCTCAGATTCCAGATATTCAAATAGTTGTATCTCGGCCAATTATCAAACCATACCATACATCATTGGAACGCATATTTATTCAGCTTTGAGATGGTGTATATATCTCAATTTCAGAAAAATGACCCTTATGACTGGTTTTGTGGTCCAGGTTCACATATACGCTCGTTACAACCTTTATAGCATTACATTATTTCATCTCTGTTTCAGTACCTGTATAAGACTTCAGTACGACAAATAGTGCCTTGATGTTGTATGTATATGTATAAAAAACAATTAAAATTACAATAAAAAAAAAAATAGCATTTATTTGAAACAAATCTTTTCTAGAATAGTCTTTGTTACTTTTGATCAATTTAATGTTTGCTTGGTCAATAAAAGTATTAGTTTTTTTTTTTTTAAAGTCTTACCGTAATTAAAAGTATTCTTTAATTCTTTAAATTCTTTTATATGTGATTTGGGCTGTCAAATCGATTAATCGCATCCACAATTAAAGTTTGTGTTTACATAATATGTGTTTGTGTACTGTGTATATATTTATATGTAAAACACACATACATGTATATATTTAATAATGTAATATATATTTATATGTAATATAAATCATATATAAATATGAATATATATATATATATGCATATTAGTGCTGTCAAACGATTAATCACGATTAATCGCATCCAAAATACATAATATATGTGTGTGTGATGTGTATATTTATTAAGTATATATAAATACAAACACATGCATGTATATACTTAAGAAAATACATTGTTTATATATTAAATATATTTATATATAATATAAAATATAAAGAAAATATAGAAATATAGAAATGCATATACATGTAAATATTTTTAAAATATATACTGTGTGTGTGTGTGTGTGTGTGTGTGTGTGTGTGTGTATTTATATATACATAATAAATATACACAGTACACACACATATATTACATTAAAAACTGTTATTTTGGATGCGATTAATCTCGATTA